CACACACACATATATATATATTTATATTTTTTTTTTTTATAATCTAATATAATACAATAGTCATATTTAGTAGTTTTTAAAAATGTTTTTATGCTTTAATGCATGTTTTTAAAAGTAGTTAAATCAAATAAAATAATTACATTTAAGAAATAAATTAATGAATCATAGTAAATCATTCAAAATTCAATGAAAGAAGATATATATATATAATATAAAAAGCATTCTTAAATTATTTTTACATTTAAATGTTAAATAATATAATATCATATCATATCATATAATGGTATTATATATATATGCATAAATTAATTAACCTAATACAAGTCAATTAGTCTAGAAAAATTAAACATGCCTTAAAAACAATGTGATACTAACAGTGTTGCTTAAAGTTACATCAGCAAGTAATATTATCTTATTTTACATGTTTCTGTTTAACATGTTAAAAACTGACTTCCCCCTCTAAAATTTACAATAATAACTGTCTGTCTGTCTGTATTAACCTAATACAAGTCAATTAGTCTAGAAAAATTAAACATGCCTTAAAAACAATGTGATACTAACAGTGTTGCTTAAAGTTACATCAGCAAGTAATATTATCTTATTTTACATGTTTCTGTTTAACATGTTAAAAACTGACTTCCCCCTCTAACATTTACAATAATAACTGTCTGTCTGTCTGTGTGTCTGTCTGCAGTACAAGCAGGTGGAGCAGTACATGTCCTTCCATAAGCTGCCAGCAGAAATGAGACAGCGAATCCATGATTACTATGAACACAGATACCAGGGGAAGATGTTTGATGAAGAGAGCATTCTGGGAGAACTGAATGAGCCACTAAGAGAGGTGAGGACACACAGATGCATGCTGGGGAATGCATGTTATTTGTGCAGTATGTGCATTTTCTGTATGCACTGAATACCCGGATGCATGAATGCTGCATCCCACAATGCAATGAGCTCACGATGACCTTTCTTTAGTAAGTCATTTTTAATTGATCAGTCTGTCTAAAATGCTTTGCTTTTCACTTCACAGGAGATCATAAACTTCAACTGTCGGAAGCTGGTGGCGTCTATGCCGCTGTTCGCCAACGCAGATCCGAATTTTGTGACGTCAATGCTCACCAAACTTCGCTTCGAGGTCTTCCAACCTGGAGACTACATCATACGAGAAGGAACCATCGGAAAGAAGATGTACTTCATCCAGCATGGCGTGGTGAGCATCCTCACCAAAGGAAACAAGGAGACCAAGCTGTCGGACGGGTCCTACTTTGGAGGTACAAATGAATCGCAAACATGGAATACAAAAGTGGATCATGCGCTCACACACACACACACACACACACACACACACACACAGTGGAGTGGAGCTCAGCCATGTCTCCAGCTTTAATATTCATAATGATGGATTAGCCAAAACAAAAGCTTTTTGCCTCTAAGCTTTTGGGACAGTCACAGAATCGTGGGATCACAGCCGATAAGTGCCCTATTTCTGGGACATTAACACAGATGCAAAGCAGGTCATGTTTGTGTCATTGTGTGGTTTTTTTTGGGGTCTGGGTTGTGTGGTGGGTGTTGGGGGGGTGGGGGGGGGTCCTGATGCAGCTGTTCAAGTTTCTATTCTTCATAGAACAGAGCTATGAAGATACATAAAATAATAGCTTATTTCATGTGCAGCTTATAAACACTACCATTAGTCATGGTAGTGTTTATAAGCTGTCATTGAGGATTTTTTTTTTCAAGAAATTAATTATTTTATTCATCAAGGATGCATTAAACTGATCAAAAGTGACAGTGGAGATTTCTGTTTCAAATAAATGCTGTTCTTTTGAACTTTCTATTCATTAAATAATCCTGAAAAATAAAATGTATCACGGTTTCCACAGAAATATGAAGCTGCATGATTGTTTTCAACATTGATAATAATCAGAAATTGTTTCTTGAGCAGCAAATCAGCATATTAGAATGATTTCTGAAGGATCATGTGACACTGAAGACTGGAGTAATGATGCTGAAAATTCAGCTTTGATCATAGGAATAAATTACATTTTAACATACAGTATATTCAAATGAAAACAATTATACAGTTTCACAATATTACTGTATTTTTGATCAAATAAATGCAGCCTTGGTGAACAGAAGAGACTTCTTTTTAAAAAACATAAAAAAGGGGTGCATATTTTTCATATATTTATAATCTATAATTTATAGGTGACATTTTATAATAAGGTGTCATTTATTAACATTAGTTAATGCATTAGCTTACATGAACCAACAATGAGCAATATATGTTTTCATTGTTATTCATTGTTTTAGTTCACAGCGCATTAACTGATGTTAACAGATATAACTTTAAAAAATATATTACTAAAAGGTCAAATTAAGATTTTAATTCAAATTAATTTTAATTAAGATCAAAATTTGAGATAAGATAATGCTGTCTGTGATGTCACTAGTGAAGCTTTGAGACTGTAGGTGCGTCCCAAAATGCGTACTAATGCACTTTTCTATGTTTTGTAGTATAAATAGTGAGTAAGGTGTTCACACTGAAAATTCCAAAAAGAAAAGTGCACTTTAAATACCTGGATGATGCAATTAAATAACCGGGGAAAAAACTAAGCATGGAATGTTGAACATATCATGTACTCACTTGTCGCAGCTTTAATTATAGCGAAGGGTAACAGGCTATCAGACTCTGATTATGAATGACAAAATAACCTTATTTAATTCATACATAGTTGAGTGCATAAATGCATAGTGTACAGTGCGTCATTTAGGACACAGCTTGTGTGTGTTCTGGCGTTCATTGTTGTCATGATGTAATTTTCCTGTGGTTCCAGATTTATTAGTCACGTGACATTACGTCTCAGGTGATTTGTGGGTAATTTGGTCCAAGCAATGTGAATTCAGCCTTAGATGAGGTCAAAAGTCAGGACTGCAACTCTCGACACTCTTTCATCTGCTTTATTTCATTGAGTGGTTTCTGCTTAAATAGTGAGGCATTTAGCCGCCTGTGCCCCATCCACCCAAGGCTAATTACAGCTCATGTACTCTTCGCGACCTCTGACCTCGTCCCGCGGGAACTCTGATGGAAATAATGGAAAGATAACACGCAATCCATCTCTGCCGTTAATCTGCATTTCACATAGCTACTTGCTCTTGACAATCTTCAAAGTCGTTCTTGGCACCAGTGCATGCTGGGAAATGAACGGAAAGCCGTGGAGAATTTGTTTTTAACCCGAGTTATTCACTCATGAAATTAATTTATGTAACTGCTCTTCAGGGGAATGTGAGATTTTACTGTCCTGGTGTCTGTTATTTATTACTTATGTGACACTGGCTTTGGCCAAAACAAGTTGACTTAGAAGACAGCATAATTATGCTACAGGCTTCACATGGAGAGCTTAAACTGCTGTCTATGTAGGCAGCTCAGTAAGGTTTGAAACAGTTCATCACATAAATAAGGGAGGAAGAAATATGCATGAGCTCGTCTTTAAACGGCACACATGAGAACACGCGAATGCCCTCGTGATTCCTGTGATTATGTTGGCCATCAATGACTCAAATGCAGAGGCTGATTATAATTATGGACATGCTGCTTATACCAAGTCATGTGACTCACTCTCCATAATGAGGTTGCATGGTTGAGCTTGACATAATGAGGAGGGATGAATATGAAAGAAGATATTGACAAGAGCAAGATAGGCCAGGTTTATTTATGTATTTTTTTATTTTTGATTATTTATTTCATTTTTAAGAAAATGTGAGTGTTGTTTGTCAATGCTAGGGTATTGTTATATGGTTGTTGTGGTATTCTTGATTGCTAGGTGGTATCTAGAGTGTTCTGGATGGTTGCCAGGTGGTTTTTAGGGTGTTTTGAGTGGTAGCTAGAGTGTTTTTCTTGGTAGGTGGTTTCTAGGGTGTTCTGGCTGGTTGTTATGATGTTCTGGATGGTTTCTAGGGTGTTCTGACTGGTCGTTAGGGTGTTTTGGATGGTTGGTGGTTTTTAGGGTGTTCTGGCTGGTTGTAAGGGTGTTTTGAATGGTAGGTGGTTTTTAGGGTGTTCTGGCTGGTTGTTAGGGTGTTTTGGATGGTTGGTGGTTTTTAGGGGGTTCTGGCTGGTTGTAAGGGTGTTTTGGATGGTTGGTGGTTTTTAGGGGGTTCTGGCTGGTTGTAAGGGTGTTTTGGATGGTTGGTGGTTTTTAGGGGGTTCTGGCTGGTTGTAAGGGTGTTTTGGATGGTTGGTGGTTTTTAGGGGGTTCTGGCTGGTTGTAAGGGTGTTTTGGATGGTTGGTGGTTTTTAGGGGGTTCTGGCTGGTTGTAAGGGTGTTTTGGATGGTTGGTGGTTTTTAGGGGGTTCTGGCTGGTTGTAAGGGTGTTTTGGATGGTTGGTGGTTTTTAGGGGGTTCTGGCTGGTTGTAAGGGTGTTTTGGATGGTTGGTGGTTTTTAGGGGGTTCTGGCTGGTTGTAAGGGTGTTTTGGATGGTTGGTGGTTTTTAGGGGGTTCTGGCTGGTTGTAAGGGTGTTTTGGATGGTTGGTGGTTTTTAGGGGGTTCTGGCTGGTTGTAAGGGTGTTTTGGATGGTTGGTGGTTTTTAGGGGGTTCTGGCTGGTTGTAAGGGTGTTTTGGATGGTTGGTGGTTTTTAGGGGGTTCTGGCTGGTTGTAAGGGTGTTTTGGATGGTTGGTGGTTTTTAGGGGGTTCTGGCTGGTTGTAAGGGTGTTTTGGATGGTTGGTGGTTTTTAGGGGGTTCTGGCTGGTTGTAAGGGTGTTTTGGATGGTTGGTGGTTTTTAGGGGGTTCTGGCTGGTTGTAAGGGTGTTTTGGATGGTTGGTGGTTTTTAGGGGGTTCTGGCTGGTTGTAAGGGTGTTTTGGATGGTTGGTGGTTTTTAGGGGGTTCTGGCTGGTTGTAAGGGTGTTTTGGATGGTTGGTGGTTTTTAGGGGGTTCTGGCTGGTTGTAAGGGTGTTTTGGATGGTTGGTGGTTTTTAGGGGGTTCTGGCTGGTTGTAAGGGTGTTTTGGATGGTTGGTGGTTTTTAGGGGGTTCTGGCTGGTTGTAAGGGTGTTTTGGATGGTTGGTGGTTTTTAGGGGGTTCTGGCTGGTTGTAAGGGTGTTTTGGATGGTTGGTGGTTTTTAGGGGGTTCTGGCTGGTTGTAAGGGTGTTTTGGATGGTTGGTGGTTTTTAGGGGGTTCTGGCTGGTTGTAAGGGTGTTTTGGATGGTTGGTGGTTTTTAGGGGGTTCTGGCTGGTTGTAAGGGTGTTTTGGATGGTTGGTGGTTTTTAGGGGGTTCTGGCTGGTTGTAAGGGTGTTTTGGATGGTTGGTGGTTTTTAGGGGGTTCTGGCTGGTTGTAAGGGTGTTTTGGATGGTTGGTGGTTTTTAGGGGGTTCTGGCTGGTTGTAAGGGTGTTTTGGATGGTTGGTGGTTTTTAGGGGGTTCTGGCTGGTTGTAAGGGTGTTTTGGATGGTTGGTGGTTTTTAGGGGGTTCTGGCTGGTTGTAAGGGTGTTTTGGATGGTTGGTGGTTTTTAGGGGGTTCTGGCTGGTTGTAAGGGTGTTTTGGATGGTTGGTGGTTTTTAGGGGGTTCTGGCTGGTTGTAAGGGTGTTTTGGATGGTTGGTGGTTTTTAGGGGGTTCTGGCTGGTTGTAAGGGTGTTTTGGATGGTTGGTGGTTTTTAGGGGGTTCTGGCTGGTTGTAAGGGTGTTTTGGATGGTTGGTGGTTTTTAGGGGGTTCTGGCTGGTTGTAAGGGTGTTTTGGATGGTTGGTGGTTTTTAGGGTGTTCTGGCTGGTTGTTAGGGTGTTTTGGCTGATTGCTAGGATGTTTTGGATGGTTGCTAGTTTTTTTTCTGGGTGTTCTGAGTGGCTGTTGTCTTAAGTCAAAAGAGTCCTGCATCTTCAAGTCTCTTTTCTGGTCTGTAGATGTGTTTAAACCACTGACTCTAACTATGAGCCGCAGCACTAGTGAAGCTCTTCACTACTGAGGAGTAAACAGTCTCTCTGATATGCTTTATTTTGGCACACACACGCTGCAGGTGGACCATCGCTGTAATACATGTGCTGTCAGACTCTGGATAAAAGCTTCAATCTGCAGCATGATCTCAGAGCGCAGCAGGAGTGTGTAGCATGTGTGAGTGTGTAGGTCATTCTTAGTTAAATGTCATGATCGGGAGCGTTTGATTCATTCTGATCTGGAAGCAGGATTTCTTCAGGAAAATCCCTCAGATTCAAGTCATCTCAGCCTGTTTCTGTCGTCGTCGGAGGAAAATCGAACATGGTGTCTCATCAGTGTTATCATCTTGAGATCTGAGACAGACAGAATCGCATGAGTGTGTGTGTGTGTGTGTGTGTGGATTTGGATTGTGGGTTTGCCAAATGCAGTGAGTGAGGCTGCTGTGCTTATAATCCTCTCACGGTTCGAGCTCTGTGACTCTCATTACACACTGACACATTGAGAGTTTTTACAGGGAACGTGTTGTACAGGTTCACTGACTCATTTTGCTAATTTATTCTGGCTTATTTGTTCCTTTTTTAAGTCCTAATGTTCCTGTCCATTAAAACCAGTGGAATTATGCAGAAATGACAGGATATTAGAATTAGTGTTCGAGTTCAAAGTCTAATGCAGCCCATTTCTGAATAGTTTCTGTTATTTTGAATATTCTGGGCAATATGACATAACATATATAACATGCATAAAATGCAATAATATTTTACAGCAGCTTTAAATGTGGCTTATCTAATCGATTTTTGTTTTATATTGATTTATCATTCTTGTAATTCATAATAATATTGTGAATAATCTGATATTTAGGCTTGTTTCCATCAAGTTACAAATAAAAGAGGAAATTATTATTAAATAATAGATTATTTTGAATTATTAATAAATACATTCTAAACAAATATTTAGAATTACAAATGATTATTTATTTATTACTATAATTATTTATTTCACTAGATTATCCGCAAATGGGTTTATAATATATAAACCCTTTTTGTTCTTAAATTTCCAAAAATATTATATCATTATATTTATACTGCCATGTTACCATGCTGTTGTTGTTTGTTTATTTGTTTTATTTTATTTTCTGAAGTTCCCTGGAGTTGCACATAAATATGGTATATAAGCAGTAATTGCATGCTTAATCAGCCATTTTGAGATTATGTTCATATCTTCCTGGCTCTGAAGTGTTTGTGATGTTTAGATTGTCCACTTAGTGTTTAATAACAAAAACATGGTTGTACAGCACAGTTAAAGGGATAGTTCACCCAAAAAAATAAAATTCCAAACAGTTGCTAGTAGCCATTGACTTCCATAGGTTTTTTTCCCCCCATATTATGGAAGTCAATGGTTACTGACAACTTCTTGGTTATCAACATTCTTCAAAATATCTTCTTTTTGGGTGAACTATAACTTTAACATAATCCTCACACACTCTCTCTCTCTCTTCTCCATCCTGGTAAACAATCCCAGTACTCCATCAGATTGTTCCAGCCGGATTTCCTGCTGGACGTTGATGTTGTTTTATTTTGTTGAGTCAGAGATCAGCTGTTGAACGCATCATGCTAATGGAAACGCTGCCATGAGCTAAACTGGGGTCAGTGTGCGATCACAAAATCATTCTGGAACAAATCCACTGTCACTTCTGTGTGTCCAGCCGGCATCTCATTCCAATGCCATGTCAAACGGGAAAATAATACTCAGGAGACAAATACAAACGAGTCAATAGTCATCATACAGTAAGAATACTGACTCTGACTGCAGCTCAAGCATTGATTAGTGCTGCGAATCTTACCATTTGATTCAGATTCAGGTAGTCGTGTTCACAGTTCTCGATGCTTTGTAATGTGGTTCTGCATATGATTTGTTAATAAAATAGAATTAAATGTAAAATTCTAATATTGACTTTCTGTCTTGTCTTTGAAAAGAATCGTTTGGCGTCTGTAAATCGATTTCTTCCCCCGTCCCTATTATTGATGTTTGGCACTTAAGAAGCGGAGAGGATTGTGGGTATTGGTTGTTTAACAGCCAGTGGTTTTGCTCTTCTCTGGAGGGCAGCAGAGGGCAGTGTTACCAGCTCTGCACCCCGATAAATGGGGCGTAATTCTGCTGATCCGCCGTGACATATGAGGTCTGCCTGTCCTCTGAGCTCTGCGTGGCATTTAGTGCTTCAGCTGTGGATTACAGAACATTTTTAATCCAAAAAAGGGGGAAGGATAGTTGTTTTTGAGCGTGTGTTTGTTTTTTTTTCTTGATAGAAAGTCAGCGTGATCAGCTCTGGGTGTGTTTGGAGAGAGAATGTGACAGGACGTGTGTTTTCTGGTCTGCACACACAGGTTCGCCAAAGGTTCATACTGAACAGTGGTGTTGTGGAAGCTCAACGTAATTTCTGGCAGAATTTGATGGAGTTGTCTGTGTCATGCAGCTTTAATGCAGGAACCCTGTGTGTGTGTGTGTGTGTGTGTGTGTGTGTGTGTCTGTCTACAGGAGCAATATGAGATGAGCTAAGAGAATCATTTATGTTGATAGATACAAGTACTGATGGCATTGTTGTGTTATAATATGATTTTTGTTCAATTACATTTAAATACAGTACATTCAGTTTAGATTTAATTTCTTCCTCAAGTTTTACATTGACTTCTTGAATTTAAAAAAAGAAATCTGAAGAAATACTATTCTCTCAACCTTTTATAAATGCAAATAATCAATAATAATATTTCTTATAATTTGCAGTATTAACCTAAAGAAAAGAGAAAAAAATTATATTGCCAGCATGATTGTCTATACATTTTATGAATGCAATTTATTATAATTATAAATGCTAGTAATAAAAATTAAATAGTCATGAATGCAATTATAAATAATGTATTAAAATTTGCATTTATAACCTATAGAATAAAATATATAATAACAACTCATTTGCCAGTATCAAATGCTTATAAATAAATGTTGTAAATGCAAATTATTATAGCCTAATTATAAATGCAAATAATAATAAATTATCATAATAAATTTGTTTATATTCATTTATTATATATTATCATTTGAATTTATAGGCTAAAAATATATAATCTTACAGCAATAAATGCTTATAAATGCAATTATAAATGCAAATAATAATAAGTATCATAATAAATGCATTTATAATAATTTACTTATTATAATTTGCATCATTATCCTAAAGAAAAAAAATATTCTTATAACTCTGCCAATATGAAATGCTTATAAATGTTTTTTATAATGCAATTTTTTGTAAGTATAAATGCAAATAATAAGAAATGATCATATAAAATGCATTTATAATAATTTGATATTTATTATCATTTGCATTTAAACCTTTAAAAAAACTGTCGTTTTAATACTCTGCCAGTATGAAATGCTCATAAATGCAAATAATAATAATTTTCATCAGTTTATGGTGTTAATGCATTTATAATAATTTATTATTTATTATCATTTGCACTTCTTAGAACTCTGCCAGGATCTCAGTACCAGTACATGGTAGAAGTGCACACTGGTGTGTTTATGTCTTCTCTCGTTCAGAGATTTGTCTGCTGACACGAGGCAGACGCACCGCCAGCGTCCGGGCCGACACATACTGCCGTCTGTACTCTCTGTCTGTGGACAACTTCAATGAGGTCCTGGAGGAGTATCCCATGATGAGGAGAGCGTTTGAGACCGTCGCTCTGGACCGCCTGGACCGCATCGGTAAGAAGTTTAGCATACTACTCCATACTACTAATACAGTGTGTACAGTATACTGTGCTGTATGAACACAGCATCTGTGAAATAAGTATTATTTTCATGTTCTTGAATCAGGAACAGCTTTAGTCTCATTATAATGCATTTCTCTTACTGTACACCAATTGAAACTGAACTTAACTTAAACTCTCACTCCCTCTTGTGTCTAATGTCTCACAATGGAGTGTAATTTCTCTGTCAGATATTTTATTACCATTTTCTAAACTATAGCGAATAAACTGTGATAATGTGAGAAATGTTGAAGGAGTCTGAATAAATTTTGGTTTGACTATCTATTTGATAAATGAAGTTAACCAACTAACATTATACATACCCTTTTGGTTTCTGTACCCAATATTTAAAAAATGTACAAATGCAATAAAAATATCGGTATCGGATACTCGATATCGGCAAGTACCAAAAATAAAAGTATTGGTATCAAGTAGTAAGTGATAGCGTGACATTACCAAACATAGCAAAGTGCCCTCTGCTCATCCAGGCTATTGGTCTCTTGTTTATATCAGTCCGGCGTATGCTGAAGGTTGTGTCTGCACTCTATTTTTGTTCTCTTTCTTATCTGGGGCTCAGCAGTGAGGAGCAGTCAAACGCAGGCAGGTCAGCCTGTAGAAATTATCTGCCCCCTGCTACGCTGAGCTATTTCCATTCGGCCTGTGTCCTCACCGCGAGCGGCCCCTCCGTCTCTGATTGCGCTCGGAGCCATCCTTTGGCGAGCCCAGGCTCCAGGACTGTTTAACAGGGGTGATGTGGTGTGTGAGATGAATCAAAGCGCTGTTGAAACAGTAGACATATCGAGCAGAGTGCTGCGTTTGATATTTAATATTCAAGGCGTTGCCTAAGGGTGAATAATTCAATTTTTAGTGGGTATTAATAAAAAAAGCTATGATCAGTTTGAAGGAAGAATACAAGCAGCTAAAATACTAACAAATGAATTAGTACAGACATTCATACACCTTAACCCATAACCCATATAATTTTTAAAAATGTACTGCGTTAAGCTAACTGAGACTTGTTATAGCACTTGCATATCATTGCTCTTTTGTTGATTTTGATTGCTTCTATTGTCTTCATTTGTAAGTCGCTTTGGATAAAAGCGTCTGCTAAATGACTAAATGTAAATGTATATATACTGTATATATATATATATATATATATACACACACATACATATATATGTGTGTGTGTGTGTGTGTCATATTCATATACCATAGAATTATAGAACAGAATATAGTTGCAACAAAACTATGGTAATACCATGCTATCTTGTCCAAAAATGGTACCATGACACATTTGGTCCTTTTCCACTGCATGGTACGGCTCGGTACAGTTCACTTTTGGGGGGGTTTCCACTGGGTACAGTACCTGGTACTTTTTTTAGTACCACCTCGGTTGAGGTTCCAAGTGACCCATACCGTTACCAAAACATGACGTAGACGTTCCTCTCATTGATAGCAGAGGAGCGGATCCAGCGAGAGCTTAATGGGGCGACGCGGAATGAAAATTATTTTCTCACCCACGCGCCTCCGACAGCCACCCGTCTGAACTAGAACCGCTCCGCTCGAAGCTCCCTTCCAATTTGTGAGGCTAAATCACACCCTCTTAACTCAGTAATAGAGATCTTCCTCAGTGTGGCGTTTGACGTTTTCTTTCGTTATCTCTGCATCGGCACTGTGTTTTAATCGTAATAATTTTAAATATCTAAATATTACTGTGATTTTAAGAAGATGAGACCTACCGAGTTAACTTAGAGCTTTAGATTTCTCTTTCGTTTTGCTTTGTTATCCTCCTTTTTTACTCATATATATCAGCTCCATTTGCAGCCAAGACAAAAGCAAGCCGTCGCTCCCAGTACTCCTCCACAATCGGGACATCTCCAAGCAGGATTTCCAACTGGGATCTTGGCTACAACCTCATCGAATACTAGCCCTCCTTCCACAGGCTTGTTCAGCCACGTACCCAGTCAATTACTGCATGGCCAACCCCCACCAAAACCCTCTCAAACGGGCTCCCTGCAGCAATTTGCTACCGGAGGGGGCAAGACTTCCACTGGGTTGAACCTCTTCCACACTCCCCCACCAGGATCCCCTGCTTCCAGCCATTCCCAAGCCCCCGAGAGTTCCACGTCATCCCAGATCCCGCCCGCTTTATCCACTTACCTTCCTTTGGAAAGGTCAGCGCTGGCCTTGCTTGCTCAGTATGGCTCAGCGAACGCCTCGCCGTGCTACACCCCTCTAGCCCCGAGTCCGACCATCCAGAGCCCCATCACGGGGAGAACTTTCCACTACAGTGACCTTTCCAGCACCGCCGGCTCTCACACCTCCCTGCTCCTCCCGCAGTCCTCCTGCCCCGGGCAACTCCCAGGTCACCACTCTTCCGGCACAGACTCTCCACTGGGCCGCTTTTATGAGGATTTGAACATACTGTCCAGCTCGCATCCCATAGAGGCAGCGGGTCAGTCTTCCCCTCGGGAGCCTGGTTACTGCCTCTCGCCGTATTCGTCCCCGACGCTCACCCCCAAACCCTGTAGCTCGGTATCAGGGCACATGGTCGGCCCCGTACAGACTTCACCGGGCTCTCGAGGCCAAGCTTGTTCTATAGGGACGTCACCTGCACTTTCTCTCCCACGCGCCTCCGACGGCCACCCGTCTGAATTAGAACCGCTCCGCTCGAAGCTCCCTTCCAATTTGTGAGGCTAAATCACACCCTCCTAACTCAGTAATAGAGATCTTCCTCTGTGTGGCGTTTGACGTTTTCTTTCGTTATCTCTGTATCGGCACTGTGTTTTAATCGTAATAATTTTAAATATCTAAATATTACTGTGATTTTAAGAAGATTAGACCTACCGAGTTAACTTAGAGCTTTAGATTTCTCTTTCGTTTTGCTTTGTTATCCTCCTTTTTCACTCATGAATATATATATATATGGAATTATATATTTAAATATATGTTAATCAGTCTATAGGAGGGTGTGAAATGCTACAGACCTAAAGGAAAATTGTTTATTTAATACTTATGCCAAATGCTGCAGTTGAGGCGGCGCAACTAACGACATGTGAATAATCCCGCCCACTCTAAAGTGATACTGAACTGCAGTGGAAACATATATATATATATATATATATATATATATATATGGAATTATATATTTAAATATATGTTAATCAGTCTATAGGAGGGTGTGAAATGTTACAGATCTAAAGGAAAATTGTTTATTTAACACTTATGCCAAATGCTGCAGTTGAGGTGGCGCAACTAACGACATGTGAATAATCCCGCCCACTCTAAAGTGATACTGAACTGCAGTGGAAGCGCAAACCGAGCCGAGCCGAGGCGTGCCGAGCCGAGTCGTACCACGCAGTGGAAAAGCGCCAATTGATATATACTGTACCATGGTACTGAACAATTACCATATTTACATACATAGAATTATAGAACAGAATACAGAATAACAACAAAACCACAGTATTTCCATGCTATAATGTACAAAAAAAGGTAATACCATGGTACTGAATGGCTACCATATTCATATACCAAAGAATTATAGAACAGAATATAGAGTTACAACAAAACCATGGTATTACCATTCTATCATGTCCACAAAATAGTAATACAACAGTACTTCTTCTTAATGTTGTTTATAAAAGATATGTTTTCTGCTGACTACAAATTAGATTTTTTGTCTTTCATCTCTTAGGGAAGAAGAACTCTATTCTCCAGCACAAGGTTCAACATGACTTGAATTCAGGGGTTTTGAACTACCAGGAAAGTGAGATCATCCAGCAGATCGTGCAGCACGATCGAGACATGGCTCACTGCGCCAACCTGATGCAGAGTCCGTCGCCGCCTACTCCTCCGTCCCCTACTCCCGTCATCTGGGCTCCCCTGATCCAAGCGCCTCTACAAGCTGCTGCCGCCACCACATCGGTCGCTATTGCACTAACCCACCAACCCCACCTCCCCGCCACTCTCTTCCGACCTCCGGTGTCCGTTCTCGGATCGAGAAATGAGCCGCCCAGCCAGCTGAAGAGGTTTCAGACAATCGCACCAAAACCTGTACCAGCTGGTGACTCTCCATCCGGTTCCCCATCAAAGAATTGTCCGGCAGTCGATACGCCGCTTCTTGCATCCCTCCGGACGCAGCACTCATCAGGAGCAACTACTTCCAGCCAGCAAGCCGGAATTTCATCATTCCCATTTGGAAGCTTCTCTTCTTCATCGGCGTCTCCGACTTCTATCACTGCACAGCTCCATTTGCAGCCAAGACAAAAGCAAGCCGTCGCTCCCAGTACTCCTCCACAATCGGGACATCTCCAAGCAGGATTTCCAACTGGGATCTTGGCTACAACCTCATCGAATACTAGCCCTCCTTCCACAGGCTTGTTCAGCCACGTACCCAGTCAATTACTGCATGGCCAACCCCCACCAAAACCCTCTCAAACGGGCTCCCTGCAGCAATTTGCTACCGGAGGGGGCAAGACTTCCACTGGGTTGAACCTCTTCCACACTCCCCCACCAGGATCCCCTGCTTCCAGCCATTCCCAAGCCCCCGAGAGTTCCACGTCATCCCAGATCCCGCCCGCTTTATCCACTTACCTTCCTTTGGAAAGGTCAGCGCTGGCCTTGCTTGCTCAGTATGGCTCAGCGAACGCCTCGCCGTGCTACACCCCTCTAGCCCCGAGTCCGACCATCCAGAGCCCCATCACGGGGAGAACTTTCCACTACAGTGACCTTTCCAGCACCGCCGGCTCTCACACCTCCCTGCTCCTCCCGCAGTCCTCCTGCCCCGGGCAACTCCCAGGTCACCACTCTTCCGGCACAGACTCTCCACTGGGCCGCTTTTATGAGGATTTGAACATACTGTCCAGCTCGCATCCCATAGAGGCAGCGGGTCAGTCTTCCCCTCGGGAGCCTGGTTACTGCCTCTCGCCGTATTCGTCCCCGACGCTCACCCCCAAACCCTGTAGCTCGGTATCAGGGCACATGGTCGGCCCCGTACAGACTTCACCGGGCTCTCGAGGCCAAGCTTGTTCTATAGGGACGTCACCTGCACTTTCTCTCCCACGCGCCTCCGACGGCCACCCGTCTGAATTAGAACCGCTCCGCTCGAAGCTCCCTTCCAATTTGTGAGGCTAAATCACACCCTCCTAACTCAGTAATAGAGATCTTCCTCTGTGTGGCGTTTGACGTTTTCTTTCGTTATCTCTGTATCGGCACTGTGTTTTAATCGTAATAATTTTAAATATCTAAATATTACTGTGATTTTAAGAAGATTAGACCTACCGAGTTAACTTAGAGCTTTAGATTTCTCTTTCGTTTTGCTTTGTTATCCTCCTTTTTCACTCATGAATATATATATATATGGAATTATATATTTAAATATATGTTAATCAGTCTATAGGAGGGTGTGAAATGCTACAGACCTAAAGGACAATTGTTTATTTTATACCTATGCCAAATGCATCCGCAAGAGTTTGGTTATTAATACTGACGTGGACAGGAAGACTCTTTTGCAGGAACCTATGCACTCACACCTGCATATGAAAACTGATTTTTGTCTGATCCAAAACAACTTTTTAGTCACCCCAATGTGGATCACATATTGCTGATCTTGAATTTAAGGGGTTATTTAAGGAATTGTACCCGTTTATTCATCCTGCAAATGTTTTGGGACCTTCCGAGGTGGAGAGAAAAACATAGGAAAACCAAAAAAATTCCCAATCAACGTTCTCTTTAGCATTTTTTTGTTTTCTTTCAGCCACACTGTAGTAATATCAGCGGGCATTGAGTGGGCGTCAGAGGAGAGGGTTCGAGAAACGTCCCAACTAAATCGCAATTCACTTGTGTCTTCCAGGATCATACGACAGTGTAGCCCTGCAGACTGTGTGTGTGTGTGTATGTGTGTGTGTGTGTGTATATGTGTGTGTGTGTGTTACATCTTGATGCAAGTGGCAATCAAGTTAGACTTACCAAGAATAGTTTTGCCTTGTCACAGCAGAGAAGAAATGGAAAACCTCCCTGCAACATTTCTTGTTTGTACATAAAATAAGCCAACAACATTAGTCAAAAAGCTGCTCAAAGGTGATTTTGTTTGTTTTTCTAAATCTTTAGCTGCTAATTGATTAGGTGGAATGGAGTGAAGGATTCTGAATGTACCGTGTCAGTCCAAACTATGACGATCAAATCCGTTCAGGGCTGGTGATTGAAGATCTCAGCAGACGTCTGTTACACACACCTGAGTCCCTCACAGGTCACGACTCTCAGCCACAGCGTTCTGATTTAAAAGGACAGACGGGCACATTTCGGGCGACCTTTGACCCTTGTCAGCTCGAGAACAGGACAACACGATGACCAGCGTCAGACAGACGGACCGGAATTGTAATGATGCACAAAACATGATTCAGTTTAAGAAAAAAAAAAATAATAATAATAATAATTACACACACACACACTACCGTTCAAACGTTTGCAATCAGTAAGCTTTTTCATTTTTTTTTTAAAGAAGTCTCTTCTGCTCATCAGGGCTGCATTTATTTGATCAAAAATACAGTAAGAACAGTGATATTGTGAAATATTAATACAATTTAAGATATAGTTTTTATTTTTAAACATATTTTAAAATGTAATTTATGCCTGTTATGGCAAAGCTGAATTTTTATAAACCATTACTCCAGTCTTCAGTATCACATGATCCTTCAAAAAATCATTCTTATATTCTGATATATTATCAATGTTGGAAACCGTTAATATTAATATAATACTTTTTTTCAGAATTCTTAGATGAATAAAAAGTTACAAATCTTTTGTAACAACATAAAAGTTTACTGTCACTTTTGATCAATTCTTATTACTATTAATTTTTTTTTAAAATACAGATCTTACTAATCCCAAACTTTTGAATTATAGTGTATATTACACAATATACAGTATATTTTTAATGACTGATCTGCAAATGGATAGTTGACAAGAAATTATTATTTTCCAATAAAATTTTATAAAAAAATTTCCAGTCAAAATGTATAAATTTTTTATAACTAAAAATTTGTTATTTAGTTTATTTATTCTTTTATATATATATATATATATATATATATATATATATAACATTACTTTTAGTTAGTCCTGCAGTTTGAGAGATTATTTTTGTCAACTGCATCTACAAATTTTGACATTTTTTGGCGGAAAGGAGTGCTAAACTCACTACTAACATACTAGAGTGTTCTGGGTCATTGCATACTGGAGAATCTTTTATATGTGGAGCACAAACAGCATGGATCTGTCTGTCAGAGAAATCGTTTTCCTCTGTAACATAAATGACAAGAAAGTCACTGTGTTATTTCTAAAGGCCTATTTTAGATTTTTTTTTTCCCTGTTCTTTCTCACCCTCAGTGTGTCTCGAAGTGAAATACAGCGTTTATACACACCTGAGAGCATCTGACCTGAGGAAAGCTCATAAGTTGTGAAAACTCCTCAACTTTTGAGACGCAAGCGAGACGGGAAGCACAAATGCAACGAGACACTGATGTATGAGGAGGTAATGTGTGCTGACTGGCAGCCAGGGGCCCGGCAGGTAGGCAGGACCCCCACGGGCCACTCACCGTGATGAGAGGCTTGTTCAGGGAGCCTCCGCGTGCGTGTCTTGTGATTGTTTCTCAGGGCTCTCAGAAGTTTCCGGAGGGGGTAGAGTATTGATTGTGTAGTATTTGAGAATTTTTTTGTGACAGTTACATAAATAAATAAAAACAATGGGAACCGGAGGGAGCTGAACCTGTGTCGGCTGATGGGAAGTAGAAAGAGAAGGAATCAAGGCGAACAAGTGACTGATTAGAGAAGCGTAGCACGAAATCCAGAGCAGAGCTGTCAAACAAGATACTGTCACTCCACTGAATCAGAGCGTCCAGTTCAGAATCAGACTCAATATCAGATTTCAACTTTCAGAATCCCAGACTCATTGTCCGATGTTTTGTTTTAAATGCAACTAATCTTTCTAGAAGATGCAAAGGTGTGCATTGAAACGACTCTTGTCTCATCTTGTCTGCTTTGAGCAACTGGCGACTGATGTTCACTTTTAAGAATTTTGGGTGTTATTCAAGGAACATGAGCAGAACATTTGTGTAAATCACTACCATTCAAAACACTTTTAATGTTAATCAAGGCTGCATTTATTTGATCAATAATACAGTAAAAATGTGAAATATTATTAAAAATGTAAGTGTGAATATATTGCGAATATATTGTAAAATCTGTGATGCGCAGCTGAATTTTCAGCATCATTACTCCAGTCTTCAGTGTCACATGATCTTCAGAAATCATTCTAATATACTGATTTGCTGCTCAAGAAACATTTCTGATTATTATCAATGATGAAAACTTTTTCAGGATCTTTGATTAATAGAAAGTTCAAAAGAACAGCATTTATTTGAAATATAAATCCTTTATAAATGTCTTTACTCTCACTTTTGATCAATTTAATGCATCCTTGATGAATTTTTAAAAAACTTGCTGACCTCAAACTTTTCATTCAAACAAATTATTCTTACATAACTGGCACATTTGATTAAATTACATGTTTCATGTACAAAACTAATAATATATGATTTATGTTCTGCTTGTATTTCATAAATAATGCCTATAGATATTGCATAATCTATTATAACTTTGCTTCTGTCTATTATAGCTAACCACTTTCCCATGAATTTATTTGTCCTAAAGGAACATACAGAAAACGTTTACTGAGCGTCACACATGTATGATTCCCTGCCTTTGCTTTCTGTACGAGAGACGTATTTAGAGACGCAACAGGAAGTCGAACCTGGACACGATCCACCTGGCAACATGCAACGCTTTGGTTTGTCTGCCAGTTTTCATAACACAATTCTAATTCCATTTGGGAGTGTTCCCAATTCCGACGGCTAATCTTACGCCGGCTCCGTTTGCTTTGAGCACCCGCGAAACGGCTCTGCAGACGGTAATAAAATCAATGGCAGTGATTGAGGATTCGATTTCACACTTACCAAGATGCGTGGAGGAAAAGGATGCGGCGCTTTGATATATAATTCATGCCTACAAATGTGTTCTGAGAGCTGCTGCCATGGGACGGATTCAAACTGACACGGGTCACAGGTGTCCATAACCCAGACAGAACCAGAGAGCAGTACATCACCTTTAGCTGCTGCTGATGAGGCCTCATGGTCTGACCTTTGACATTATAAGGCACAAAAATAGACAGAAGAGCAGAAGCTGGTGCACTGGCAGTAATTAAAGGAATAGTTCAGATGAAAATGTGCTGAAAATGTCCTCAACCTCAGGTCATGCAAGATGTAGATGAGTTTGTTTCTTCATCAGATTTGGAGAAATGTAGCATTGCATCACTTGCTCAGCAATGGATCCTCTGCAGTGAATGGGTGCCGTCAGAATGAGAGTCCAAACAGCTGATAAAAACATCACAATAATCCACAAGTAATCCACACCACTCCAGTTCATCAGTTAACATCTTGTGATCCCAAAAGCTGTGTTTGTAAGAAACAAATCCATCATTAAGACATTTTTAACTTAAAATATGCATCCATAATAACGCTTCCTCCAGTGAAAAAGTCATCTCATCTGAATCAGGAAAGAAATATGTAGAGATCAAGCACCGTTTACGAGCCAAAACAGCTCTAAACAAATATGTGTGTGGATTTTGATGTGAGAGACAACAGCGGATGGACTTTTTCACTGGAGGAAGCATTATTATGGATTTTTATATGTATAGCTATAAAGCAGGGGTGGCAAACGTCGGTCCTGGAGAGCCGCAGCCCTGCAGAGTTTTGCTTCAACCCTAATCAAACACACCTGAACAAGCTAATCAAGGTCTGAATGGTTTCTAGGAAGCTACAGGCAGGTGAGTTTTAATTAGGGTTGGAGCTGAACTCTGCAGGGCTGCGGCTCTCCAGGACCGGAGTTCGCAACCGCTGCTATAAAGTCAAAAACGTCTTGATGAAGGATTTGCTTACAAACATGCAGCTTTTGGTGTTACACGTGTTGTGGATTACTTGTGGATTATTGTGATGTGTTTATCAGCTGTTTGGACTCTCATTCTGACGGCACCCATTCACTGCAGAGGATCCAGAGGATACTGAGCAAGTGATGGAATGCTACATTTCTCAAAGTCTCCAAAAATCATCTACATCTTGCTTGGCCTGAGCTGAGGGTGAGTAAATTCTAAGCAT